CATTTTCTCAAATCTGCTTCTAGGGCAGCATATGAATGTGCCTTGTGGCATTTACACCATTGACAGAACTAGACAAGCCTGCTTTCCCAAAACTGTGGAAAGCCAATTAAGATGTTCTGGAGACAAACAGTGGAGACCCTGTCAGGAGCTACATATATAGCAATTCAAATAAATCTGGAAAATAATACTGAGTGAATCAAGTAAAATGCAGGATGAACTCTAACATACTCTCATTTGGGCACACTAAACATGTATGTACATGAGATTGATGTGTAGCTCACTGGTAGAGCACATGCACAGTACTCATCATGCTCTAGGGTCCATAGCCAGCATAAACAATGTACATGAAGCTATGGTGCAGAACCCAGAAGTGATGAGCAGGGTCACAACTGTGGAAAGAAGACACCTGCAACAGGATTGTCAAGCACAGCACTAGTGATATTTGGGTCTAATATTTCATTCTTTAAAGGGCTGTCCTGTGGGCTATGTGACACTGATCAACATCCTTGACCTCTACCCATGCTTCAAATCTTGCTCACGCTCTGCACTATGATTACAACAAAAAGAGTTGAGACGCATTCATGTTTCCTGATGTGCACAATCACCAGTGCCTGAAAATCACCAACTTAGCAGGTGCGGTATGGGCATATAATCTCCTGAATGACAAGGTACCCAGAGTGGGCAAAGACCACAAGAGCTGTTAAAATTCTCCACACCCCAAACCCAAGCAGAATGAATGACACCAGCCCAAATACTCTGTCCTTGCCCACTCCTCTTGTCCCCACCACCCACACCACTTTCCAGATGTCACTAGTGTGAAGAGACAGAACAGGCTCCGCTGCTTGATGGTCTATGATGACACCCACTGGGAGACAGGAGGACAGACTAAGGGGTGCCTCGAACTGAAGCTCTGTGCTTTATCTCAACTGTGCCTTTCTCCATGAACCATTTCCAAGGTCTTCTCCAGGATGCCAACATGGAAGTTTTGTCCTCAGAGTTTGAGGAAGCCAGGAGACATCTGCGGGGATTTCAGAGACTACAGTCTCTGGTCACTTATGGAACACACAATAAAGGCTCATGGTCATCTCTCTCCCCAGAGAGATACAAATCACTTCACAGAGAAACAGTCTTGGAAGCAACCTTGCTGGACATGCCTGCCTTCAGCCCACTAAGGTGATGGAAGAGGAAGTGGCATTGTAGGAGGGAACAACCCAGTATAGAAAGGGAGATGTTGACCTAAGGTTAAAGCAGCTAGAAGGGTTCCCAGAATCAGCATAAATTGGAACTAGGAATGGAAGTGTATTTTCTTTAGCCTTGCATATGCTTGGTGTCCTGTGTTCAAACTGCTCAGCCCAGTATCTTCATTGAAAAGTTTGACCCTATCTCCTTGTCATGGTAATGTAAGCCAGAGTTAGACCAGAGTGGAGGACCTCTTTATAATACCAGAACCAAAACGGAAAAAAAAAAGTCAAAGCAAAACAAACACACCCACATACAAACCAAAACAAGTCCCAGAGTAGTCTTCCCTTTTCAAAACAATACTCATAGGGCTGGGGATTTAGCTTAGTGATTCTACCACCTGTCTCCCAAGTTCAAGGTCCGGAGTTCCATCCCTGGTACCACACACACACAAAAAAAATACTCAGACTGTCTCCTGGTTGGATTGCTCTGGTGAAGCTGATTAATACAGCATTCAAAACAGGAAACAATCTGATGAATGTCATGTTCTACAAAGGACTTTTGAAGAGTTGAAAGAATGAGTCTACAGATGCTACTTGAATAAAGGAAAATATGATCAACCCAAAGAAGTTAAAAATAAAACGTATTGAAAATGCACCGAATATACCCATTCAATCAAACATCATTGTCAAGCCCTGGACCTTTTAAACCTGCTCAACACATTTGCCTTGACCTGTGTTTGGGGAAATACATGTAACACAATACAAAATTCATAATAAAATACTAAATATCTCATGAACTTCATAAAATACAGTCCACTGTAAATCACTGGCTGTTTACCCCTGGTGTCCAGTTGCTAACAGAGAGCAGTGACTCTTCACTGCTGTCCACCATCATGAGCAAGTACTGTACCATATAACACTAGTGAGAAAAGTAAACAAATTACAAAACTGACAGGTTTCCACTAAATAATTTTTCTTTTTTGCTTCAGTACTAAAGATTTAACTCAGGGCCTCATGCATGTTAGATGAATTAGATTGGAGGTATATCCCAACATATTTATATCATAGTGAAACAGGATCTTGTTCAATTGTCCAGGCTGGGCTTGACCTTGCAATATTCCTGTTTCAGTCTCCCATGTGGCTGGGATTAAAGGTGTGCACCACCATGCCTCACTGATGTTTACTTTACCCAACCACTGAAATCTTTGTAAATCATGGTGATTAAAGAATCCCAATCTCGAACTGGCAAAATGTCACATGCCTGTCTTCTCAACAGTCAAGGAGGTGGAAACAGTATCAAAAGTTCTCCCCAGCCTGGGCAATTTAGTTAAGACCAGGTCTCAAAAAAAAATTTTTGAGGGGCAGGTGTGGCTTGGAGCAGACTTCCTGAGTTCAGTCCCTGTACAATAAAAACTACCAAGCACACTTTGGAATCTTTTGTATCCAAAAGAAAACCCTTCTCATTCTATTTCAATGATGACACCCACCCTATTTTTAAACCTACAAGATCAGTTTCCTAATTTCTAATTTTGCCAAACAATTAGGTGAACGGATCAGTAGTAGCAGAAGACTTATTTATAGTATTTGTCACTAAGTCCCCTCCTTTCTTTAGGCCTGTGACCTCTGACCCACTCTCATGCCAAGGCAGCACACGACCCTTCAGTTACTGTCACACTAAGAACAATCTGACCTTGGGAGGGAGCTCATTACAGTCGCTGATTTCTCCTCCCTCCCACAAGCCCTGCTCTCCTGTTTACTTTTTCCTCCCCTTTGCTCCTACCTATTCAAAAAACCCTTTTATCCCTATTCCTTCATGTGCCTGTAGACCTTACCTATGGGGATTTACTTCTACTTCAGTGCTTTATTCAAAATCCATTTCAAGCAATATTTCAAATTTAAAACAATGTGTAGAAACAGTCCAAGAACTACAGCAATTATTTCAGAGATGAGAGCCCCATTTCCCTTTCCACTACTACCAATGTCACATGCCCATGTCCATGCAGATGCCCTAATTCAACGTGTTTCTCAATTTGGGTTTAATAGGCATCCACTTCAGAAAGATTTCTTTAGCATGAATCCCTTCCCTTCCCTTAGTAATACATCAACATCCCCTCCATTTTTCTCAGTGTTATAAATAAACTCTCTTGAAGGCCTCATTTAAATAGTCTAATTGTAAAGAATATTTTATTTAGTTATCGTATGAGTAAGGCACCTAGCTAGGGAAAATTGGCCTGAGATAGTTAGGAAATAAGCCATACTGATAAAAATTAAAGTAAGAATAGTGAGTTACAGACAGTGGACCGAGAGTCAACTTCTCAGGCAACATGGAATGCAGCCACTCCCTACTAAACTCCTTAGTTTCCAGAACCTAAGTGCAAAATGACCAGTTTTTCTCTACAATCTCAGATTTCTACAAAACTTACATGATAACAAAAAAAGGTTTTGTTACAGAAATCTTGAAAATACACAGAGACACAGAATTCGGATAAAATAATAAAATTTCTTCTAGCGAGCGGGTGGAATGCCAGAAACCAGTCTGGTCAGTATCCTCGCCCCCTTTGTGTTTCCCTTTTTGTATCCTTTTAAGCCATTATCTCATCCCTATTGGTCTTTGATGTGTAAATACAATTCCAGTTCCTATTTATAAATCACAGACACAAGATAGGCACAAATACATTGTAAATTCACCCTGGCAGGGTAACTTTGTTAGGTTAATGAAGTTACTGGTTAGAGTCAGATAATCCTCACCTTAAACAAGGAGTTACAGAAAAAGCAAATCTTAAAAGAATGCATTACTTATTTTCCTTCTACAACTACCTTAATATTCAATCTATTAAGTTATCTAAAACTTTTCCTTATCAGTTTGAGAACCTGAGTTCCAAATGGTCATTTTTAAATAAAGTCATCTACGATAAGTGGCCATTAAACAATTGAGCAGTTACTCTGATTATCTATAATTAGCTCTGGATTGAGCAGCCACATGGCCACTCAGGATGCTTCCACGAAATCAGGGAGCTATTTTTAACTCCAATAAAAAGTCTCCTAACATCTTCTTTTTGGTTCATGACTAATGTGAGCCCACGAGTTTTATTTTATTTTTTTTTGAACTTCGGTCTTTGCACTTGCGCAGCAGGCGGTGAAACCGCTGAGCCAAATCCCCTGCCCAAGGAGCTCTATTCTTTATCACTGTGAGTGCAGGTCTGACAAACAATTAAGGTGATAATTTTGGGGGTTGCTGAGTATGGAATGCAGGATTTCAGTGCATAGTTGGCAAGCACTCCGCCCCTGAGTCACATCACCTGCTTATCGACACCTATTGTGACTTTGGCAATATGGGGAAATATTGGAAATTTTGGGATTCATTGTGAACATAAAAAGTCTGAGGAGACTAGTTACGGGTATGAGACCTTGCATCACAAACGTTTATAAATGTCAGATCCTCCAGGTCTGCTACTAAAAGGAAGGAGACCAGGGACCTAGCACATCACAGCTGCACCCAGCTCCAACCCATGCCTGAATCAGGGTCTCCCCTACTGGGCCCCTGAATCTCCCTAGAGTGGTGTAGACGAGGCTGTGCCTGGAGCCACCCGAGACAGCGCTGTGGGCTGGGAGTGTCACAGTGGGGACAGGATGCAGGGAACCCGGGACTAACCCTGACCCAGCACAGGGAAAAAGGGACAAAAGCACCAAAAACCCAGAAGAACCGCAGGGTCTGGAGCTAAGCGGGGAGGTTGTAGTCCCCGTAGCTGGCTCTGGCCCCTTCCTTTCAGACTTCTTCCCGATTCCATCCCATTCCCGGTTTCTCTCCCACAACATCACCATTGCATGGCTTCAGGGTCTCCCAGAGTCCTTCCCATGCAGCGTGCAGCCAGTAGAAGTCACAGAAGGTGACCTAGCAAGCTGGGGGCTCTCAGCAAGGTGCTCAGGATGCTCACTTTGGAGCCAAGACTCCAGAAGGTCCCTCCCTATGGAGCCACCTGATTGGACAGTTCATACAGCCCGCCTCCTTGTCGCTGATTGGCTCCTGCTCCATCGCCCTCCTTCTGAGCCTAGAGTGAGAAGAGAAATAAACTGCGTCCAAGGATGGAGCTCAAATGACAGTCTGTAACCCAGGAAGTTCTGGGCCCGGCACTTCCCCCTAACAATTGTATTTAAGCAGTTTACTCCTGGCTTTCCAGAGCTGCCCCTGTTTTCTTAACGGACCTAGTGCTCTTTTTCTGAAAATGGAGTCACTTGTGTGCTCAGAAGTTCCATGGTCAGTGTCCTACGGAAAACCAATCTCTTGATGTAAGAAAACAGCATGAGTGCAGGTCAGGACAGGACAAAACGGAATGGACAGAGGGTTGGCTGTGTGAATGGTCACATTAGGGGTGAGTCAGCAGGCTTCATGGTCACAATTTTCACACTGTCTCAATTTATTCATTTTCAGCCAAGAAAATGAATATATGCCCCCCAAATGAACACAGTTATTGTGTGAATGAAGAAATTAGAGTTAAATGATAGCAATATTCTGCAAAAGGGTAAAGATGAAAGAAAAGCAAACATTCCAACACCCTTAGACAAGCTTCATACTTCACCCAGAGTTGACCACCTTTAATTATGAGATCCTACAAAATGCATATAAAAGTTAATTGGCACAGGGCTGGGGATTTAGCTCAGTGGCACCGCGCCTGCCTTGCAAGCACAAGGTCCTGAGTTCAATCCCCAGTACAAAAAAAAAAAGTTAAATGGCACAATAAGAGGTCTTTTCCATGCTTATAGAATGATTTTTACCTTTATCACTCCCTACTTTTTTTTTGAGGATCTGTAGTCCCAGAACTGTAGACAAAAATTCTATACAGGACAGAACAAGTGTATTTAGGAGACTGTTCAAACAGTCATGAAAGGAAATGCATAGAATCTGCATAATATGATGGCAAGTTTCAAGCTGAGTCAGCCCAGTGCAATATACTTCCAAATGCAATTCCATTCCCCTCTTCCCATTTCTTTTCCAAAGGTGGGCATGGAATATGGCCATGAGTCTTCACTTACCTCTTATTCCTGACTGCTTTCAAACCCAGTCCATTAAGGAGTTTTATATTCTTGAAATAATACACCTTGGCCTTATTATTTTTTACTTCTACCCAATACTTTAGAGTGAAGTGTTCTCACTATACTGTAGAGTGAAATTTTTACTCATTGAGCTCCTCCTCTGTCAAAATCAACAAAACCCATGAGATTTTATGGGTTATTTTTTACTTTTGTGGCCCTTCTGCATATTTATGGCTTGGTTTTAAATACGTATGCTGAATATCATAATTATTCCTCTCACAACAGTGTCAAAATTTCAAGCCTGCATTCAATACCCTGTAATCATACACCATATGAAGGATCTTGTCTGCACATCAGATTCCTGAATCATCATAAGGACCTTTTGAGGTGCATTCTGATTGACACTGGTTTTCTTGATGAAGCAGCTGAAGGTGGAGAAATTGAATAATGTCTCAAGTCCTCAAAGCTACTGGTAGACTAAAATGTATGTTTGTCTTCCAATAGGGTGTTCAGTCTTTGCAGTGGGCTGTCTACTCCACATGCAGATTTAATTTTTTAATACATTATCCCTCCCTAAATGGTTTCTGTGCACTCAACTTCACCCTGCTATCATGTTCCCACTCCCAAGGTGGTTCCTTTCTTAGACATCTTGAATGGTAATAATTGCTTTCTTATTCACCTCAAGAATATGTATTCTAAGGCCAGGAATTTATCTCAGTGGTTTCACCACCTGCTGTGTAAGTGCAAGGACCCAAGTTCAATCCCCAGTACAAAAAAAAAAATGAAAGAATACGTGTTCTCCAGTGTAGTATCCATTTCTATGTGAGAATGTCACACAAAGAAAAATTAATAAAGAAACAAAATATACTTTTTACAAACTCTTTACAAATTTTGAGGCTGGAAAGCCTAGGAGCATGGCACAAAAATCTGGTAAAACTCTTTGTGTTGCATGACACATTATTAAATGCCAAGTAACAAGTGAGCACTGTTTATATAAGAAGTCTTTCACTCATAAATCCTCCACTTCATATTAATAGCATCATTCCATTCATTAGAGCAAAACACTCCCTTATTTCAACTCTGTATCACTAGATAATCAGCTCCAGAAATGTGAAGTTTAGAGGGTATATTGAATCTCACACTGGTTCAGTGATTTGAAATCTGACTTTGGCCAGGAGGAAGTCCACAGCACATGGATGTCTACACTTACCCTTGAATCTCCATGCCCCTAGACACAGAAACCTCAGTGCCAGTCTCCATTTATTGCTTTATTCTAAGTAGGATCCAATCTTTTGTCATGCATTGTATGTATTTACTTAATATGTTTCTCATTACATCATACAAAAACCCAACATTCATAATGATAGGTCTCCCACTACCTCAGCAGCTGTTATGTATAGTAGCTGCCCTCTTCCTATGGTGCCTTGCCCCTCCCCTGTGTGACATCATGCCAAGATGGCTGCTCCCACCAAAGAACAAACCCTTCTTCCCAGCATGCCCCTGTTCCCGCCTAGAGAGTAACCTAATACTTGCTCACCTCCTACCACCTAGTGACATCATGGGCTCCTCCATTCCCTAGTCACTGCCTCACTCAACCCCGCCTCAGCCCCTACAAGTCCCACCCCAGTCTCTATAAAAGACTCTCCCTGCCCCAGCCATATTGCTTTTGTCTCTCCTTTGTTCAGAGACAGCCCGGCAGATCTGTTCCCTAATAAAGGCTTGTGTCCTGGTCTGGTCTTGGTCTTCGGCCCTTTTACCTGACACATAACAATGATAAAATGGTTGCATGAAAGATCCAAGTTACACTGCGTAGAAGTGTTTTGTACCAAAAGGTCTTGTCTACTGAGTGACTCTGTGCCGGAGTCCAGCTCCGGCGGGTTCCGGTCCTGAGAGGAGGTGTGGGGTCGGCGATGAGAGAATGAGACAGACCCTGAGTGGAGGGTGGGCAGCTCAGCTTGCCCGTCTGAGTTACACCGAAATCACTTTCTTTATATACGCTTTGATTACACAAGGCTTTGGTAAGCACGTGGGTCCATACACAGTGTGTTTTCATACAGAGTTAAAGAAAAGCTGGTATCATCTAAAAAAACTATTTTAGACCACCCAGTTCTAAATACTCTCCCGGGTGCTACGTGAACTCTTGCTAACTTATCAGATTTACATTTGAGGAACACGAAGCATTTTAGAAAGATCAGGCTACTTCATTAGGCCAAGGTTTGTTAGATCTCATTGCTGTGTGCCCTGCGGTTATGTAGGTGTTGGCCAAGGGCGACCTTCCCAGAGCCATAACTGCGTCATGAATTTGTTGATGTCCCGATCTCCCTCTGTGCAGTCGGGGCATATGGATGTCACGTCCCCACTATTCATGGAGGTAGGAGCGAGGGGCTTTTCTGTAAATGGACTTACAATTTCTTCCTGTAATCCCGGCCTAGTAACCATTTCTGAAGTAATGATTTTTATCCTTTCAGTGATTTTCCAGGGAGTTTTTTTTGGAATTTAGACTCACGTTTCAAATATACATTTTGAAAGGGATAAGTAAACGTCAAAGAGACCCCTAACAGCACCGAGGTAATCACCACCGCTGAAAGCAAAAGCAAAAGATGGAGTCGTGGTTTCAGCCATAGTCTCGGTTTCACTGGAGCTGTGTCAAGCAGCAAGATTGTGACCATGGCCTGCGCCAACTCTGCAGAGCTTTAAACACTCTGAAGTGTACTTTCACAGGATGTGAAAAGAATGCACTGTCAGCTTGGTTTATTGTGGCTTCTTTTTTTTTTTAGTACTGGGAATCAAACTCGGGACCTCACGCTTGCAAGGCAGGCAGCGGAACCACTGAGCTAAATCCCCAGCCCTGTTGTGGCATCTTTATTAAGACTTCAGTAGATACAAAAATTTTTTATACAATAATACTTCAGGAAGTGTAACATTGTGTAAAGTATACTTGGGAAGACAAGGACTGGACTCAATTCTATGACTCTTAACATGTTTCTCAGTACTGTTTTTACTGAGGCATCTTTCTGTAATTCTCCTCTCCTCTGCCCCTTTTTGATCTTTCTCGGGCTGATTCCCCATGACTCTGGAATCTCTCCTCTGTGGTCTGGTCTTTCTTTCTCCATTTATTTACCAGAAAAAATCATTTGTCTTTTGATTTTATCATGTCCGCAGTCTACTCCCACCTTCCTGATAACCCCTATTATGATGTGTCTTGGAATATGTTCACCTGCCTTTTCATTTAAATATTAAAAATTGAGGAAATAATCTGGCCATTTCTGTCACTCATGAAAGCTTTCTAAGGCCCTAGCACAGGGAATATTGTAAAATAAATTCTTGAGTACTGTATCAAATTAATAGGAACGCACAATACTGCAGAGAAAACTGGTTTTGCTTGATAGAACAATGACATAAAACATGCTACATGGTCTTTATCCTTCCTCAATGTGTTCACATCCTGAATATTCTACAATGTGAAAAGTGAGGCACAGCAAAAATGTCACTGTCCAAATGCACAAAACTGACTCCAGATTCATTCTGATGTCCATCGATGAGGACACTGTGGCACACAGACAAGGGAAAAACCCACACAGTTCTGCCCAATCAGAGGTGCTGTCAAGGAAGAGGTGAGGACTGGGCTTTTCTTTTAAGGTATCTGTGCCTCCTCATTTCCTTTATCTATTTATTTTTCTTTGAGGCAGGGTCTTTCTATGTAGCCCAGGCTGGCCTCAAACTCAGGGCAATCCTCCAGCCTCAGCCTCCCAAGTGTTAGGATTACAGGCCTGTGCCACCACGCCCAGCCCTTAGGGTGTAGTACCTTATATCGGAAATGCCTTCAAATGTTAGCTAACTGGATTGGTAATACCAGTTTTTTTCCCCTTTGCTATTCTAAGATTCCAAGTCCACCTGGTTTATTTTGAAG